GATGGGGGAGTAAGATAAAATGATATCAATTATTGGATTTGATGCAAACAATGATAATTAGAGGGCGACTCTTGTAGATTAAGGTTTAGTTATTAAATGATTCTTATCCTAATTAAACTATGTTTATGTTGTTAATACCAATGTACCCAATACCGTTGTGTACTGTCCGAGTATGCTTACAATTTCTAACTGCCTTCCTGAAACTCAATCCAAGGCTGCCTAATTTGAATTCTACAAAATTTGGCTACTGAAATTCAAAAGTTAAATAGCTCAAATTGGTTTGAGAATATCTTCAACACCCAACCCAATTTAGAATAAATGAATTTCACAATATTGATTAGAATATATACATATGTGAAAGAATAAGAAAAATTGTTTGAATTGTCATATTTTTCATTACAAAGTAGGGTTTATTTGAGTCAAACCAGGATGAAAATTACATAATTTCCAATCATATTCTAAAATATAGAAATGTAAAAAAATAGATTTTGAGTGTGGTCTCAATAAATAATGGATATTTGACCGATCACTTTAGAAGGGAGAAATTACAACCAAATAAATGATTAAGAATCAAAATTATTTATTTTAATTTTCTTATAATTATTTCATGTAAAATATAATTTTTCTAATAGAGTATTAATCTTTATAATGACATATAAAATGAGAGTAAAGATTAAAAGATAAGAGAGTAAGGTGGGTAATCTCTTTCTTGAATAACTTTATACACTAAGGGAAATGAAATTTTGTTCAGTAACATTATTAGCTTTTACTTTTTCTCTAACTCCATTATTTAGCTTTAAATTATTATTTCAACATCTAATCAGATTTGGATTGATGACTTTACCCAAAAACACATTATAGCTAGTTGTATGGACATTGATGTTTCTTCATCCAGCATTTTTAAATTCTAATTATTTATAAGGCCTTAATTAAAATGGTAATCAAACAATATATATATAAAGGTAAGAAAAAGAGTAGCTTCTTTACATTTAAGTGCACGGTAGTTCATTCGTAAAATTCAGCGTTTCATAAAGTTAATTTACAAAATTTAAATTTGAATTTACATATTCAACGGCTCTAATCGGATGAAATATAATTATATTTTATAATATTTAAAAAGTAGGATTCGATAAAAGAAAATAAAAAAGTGTTTTCAAAAAAAAAAATTATTAATTAGAAAGAGAATAAAATGAAGCAAAAAGTAAGTGGAATAATAAGTCACAATCAATTGGGAGATGTAGTAACTAGTGACAATGTGCATATTGTTTTGACGGGCCGTCCATGGCAGTGAATGAAAGCAACCATTTGAAAAAACGTACGCACAAATTAATTAAATAAATAAACTTGATTTTGATAATATTATTTTAATTAATATTATGTTTATTATATTTAATCACTATCATCATTATCATTAAGAAAAAATGCAATTACATCATACTAAAACAAATATAATGCATGTAAGTCCAAATCATTTGTTTTTCTTTAGAATTAAGTTGAATTGAAGTTTAAAGTATTAATAATAAATGTTTAAACTATATTAATTTTAAAAATAATGCTCAATTTATCAACTGAACTTGATCGTCTGATCTATCCAAAATTAAGCTTTTGATTAATCTTGAATCAATTTTAGTAAGAATTTACAGTCGGTAAATCAATTGATCATTTTTTTTTTATTAAACCATATATATATATATTTTTTTTTTTTTTGAGAATTAGACCAAATGTATTGACTAAGTCATTGAGTAAAAATAGATAATATGTTTTAGCTAAGAGAAAATTAGGCCAATGTCTTTTGGATTAAGAAAGTTAGCTAACTGAATTTTTCTTCCTAAAATGCCCTTAATAATTAACACTTTTAAGCTTTTTATTTTTTTTTTTCAAAGAAGATGCAATTACATTTTGGAGCAAATTAATGAAATATGAATAAGAAAATAATTAATCCCACAAAAAGATTCTAGACAATTAAAAATATTCTTACAACTAGAATGAGATAGAACAAATATATTTGGGAAATGGACATCAATTGTTGCAACTAGAATGAGAAGAAGCTCATACATTAGTTAGAGATTCCTATTTCATATGCTTATTTTCAAGTATGGGAGACCATACCTCACTGTCTGTACCTTTTTATAATCAGTAATGCATTTGTATTTCTTAAAAAAAAAAAAAAAAAAAGCAATATTTGGGAAATTCTATAAAAATTGCCAACTTGGAAGGGAAAACTTTTTCCGCTTTGAACCTAAAATCTCTTGAATTATAAAATATGACATCCAAATGCATTGGTTGAAGTAATTTTTACTTCGACTAATGCAATTATTGTCTAAATTGATCGGTAATAATAAAAAAAAAGGGCTTATCCGATTCAAAGATCAAATGTTGTAGAATCATGAAAATTAAATTTAGTACTTGAAATTGATACTTATAATTTAGACAAATGATCATGGTTTTTTTTTTTTTTTTTTTTTTTTTTTATCCGATTCAAAAATCAAAAATGTTGTAGATTCATGAAAAATGTAAATTTTAGTACTTGAAAATTGGGAAATACTTATAATTTAGACAAATGAGCATGGTTTTTTTTTTTTTTTTTTTTTTTTCCTTAACATTGATTTATCTCACAAATCAAACAATGTCTACAATCGTAAGATCTCTTTACAAGTGTAAGGCAATGTTTCCACACTTATTGTATCATCATTTTTCCTCTTACACTTATTGAATTTAGGATTTGTTTAAAGTGTATAATTAACAGTTTTTTTTTTTTTTTTTTTTTTTCCTTACATGATTTATCTCACAATCAAACAATGTCTTACAATCGTAAGATCTCTTACAAGTGTAAGGCATGTTCACACTTATGTATCATCATTTTCTCTTACACTTATTGAATTTAGGATTTGTTTAAAGTGTTATATTAAATCCTTAAAAGGTTCTGTGTTCTTGTGGAGATTTTCATTTGCTTAGATTTTAAAAGTAGTTCAGGATTAGTGATTTGCTTTTAGTTAATAGGATGATTAAATAAAATTAAATGAATACGATCTAAAATAATAAAAAGAACAATATCATGAAGCAACCAAAATTAAAGACGGACAAAAAGTTGACAAAGAATCTGGAGATCCAATTTTAAGTTTGAGACATAATTTAGCTAACTAATCGATATAAAAAATTAATTTCACGAAACACATGCGAGATTTACGGTATCCAATCAAGCTGGAAGAACTGTTGAAGAGATAAAACCAAAAGCACAAACAGATGTTGGAGGTCTAAGTATCTCCTCTAACAAGTTGAATGGCAAGGAGATTATCAGATTCAACCATAATATGGGAAAAGCCTATGGAGTGAGCAAGCTTGATACCCTCTAACATGTCCTATAACTCAGCACATAATACAGAAATTTGGCCAATTCCAAGAGTAAAACCATCAATCCAATGGTCCAAATTATTACAAAAAAATTGTATTACTATGACCTTAAAAATAGGACATTATTCATGTTAATCAAGATGGTAAACGGTCACGATCTCTACAGGGATATAAACATAAATTTGACTCCTGTAGATCGTACTTAATTGGAAGTGTTGAAAACTTTTGCACTCCACATTTTAAGGTGGACTAATATCTCTTAGTTTTAACAAATAAAAAAAAAAAGTCATTATTCTTGCATATCAGTCACAAGATCTTCTTTGTAAATATTAGATATTTTGGTAGTTATTAGCTATTTTAATAGGGTGTAATTATTAGCTGTTTGAGTAGCTTTTTTGTGAATCGCTAAAAGTTTAACGTTACATGGATTAATTTTTCATAAAACACCAACTTAACTAACATAAACATTATGTTACCAAACATCATAAAAAATAATGTTTAAACACTAAAACTATCTGAAAGCTACTGCGGAACACGATCGTAGAAAGAAGTTGCCTTTTGCAAACAAATACATCATTAAGAAGTTTAGGGGGAATAGAACTCTATTCTTGTGAACTAGTCATAGAAGAAGTTGTCTTTACCAACAAATGAACAATATTATTTTACTTATGGTCTAATAAACACCATACAATGACCTATCTCTTTCAAGATATTCTTACAATTTTAAATATGTAAATCAAAATAAGAGTAACATGGGAAGAAGACCCTTTTGAAACATATATTATAATCTTTAATTTTAATGATTTAAATCGAAATTTGTGATTTCGAATTAATTTACAGATTTAATCAGTTCTATTGTCAAAATTATAATAACTATTACAAAATAAAAAAAATTTCAATCTAACAAATATTTCAACTACTTTTTTTTCTAGAATTGTCTATTTACCTATAAACTGTACAAATTTTAATTTTAGGATTAACGGTCAAGAATTTTAAAAATATTAAAATTGATTGATTAGAGAAATTATTTAGAAATAGAGTATGCGTAAAGATCTGCTATATACAAAGGATATTCCGTTGGATGTAACGCAGAACAAGTCTGGCATCATCATGTTCATGTCTTTGCATCCACCTTAAAAGATGCCACCGAATCTACTCTGGTCCAAATTTTGCAGGCCCAACGGAATGTTCATACAAACAAAAGAGACAGAAATTGAACTAGTCTTCCTTATATGAATATGCTTCATTTTTTCTTTTTTCTAGGGTTCTTCTGCCATCAAACCACTAATAAGTTCGTTCTTACCTATATTTTTTAATTAAATCAGAGATGTTATTCAAATAAACCGCTTCCAATAATGGACAATATTATCTTTTTCGGTGATAATTGAATGGCAGACCGAATACTATAATTAATGGAGATAAAATTTTAATTTAATCAAAATATTAAAAAAGCTAATTTAAAAATTGTTGCCGAATACGTTTTTCGACTCTGTAACTTAATTACAAATAAAGTTTGATTAAGGAGTAAAATTGCCGAAACAATATGTTGGTATATAAATCCTTTTTCTAAGAAAACGAGCAATTTTATTTTAAAAAGTTAAATACATACATATTCTCATTGACAAAAAATTAAAAAAAAAAAACCAAAAGAAAACAAAAATCTAATATTACATTGATAAAAAGAAAAAAAGGACCAAGAGGTTAAAGAAAAAACACTGGAAATTACACACTTGGATTTGTTTTTCTTACTTTTACCCTCTCTGTGTCAAGTCTCACTCACACCCCCAGGCTTTGAGATTCACTGACTCGCTAACTTCAACTCAGTCGCTATACTGAGTTAACTCGAACCGCCGGGTTTCCAAGCCGAGGTGACAATTAGCGGTCTCGTATGCCAACCAAGCATCAAGCATCCATCTTTTTCCTCTACTCTATACCCATCACCACCAGCGAATATATCTAACAACATGCCAGCTTGTTTATACGCGTTTGAACCAAGGTGAACCGGTTCGAACCCAGCTGCATCAATCCGAGTTCTCCACTGAGCAAGCGTCTCATGTCGCTCAACTCGGTCTGCTCCTTCCCAAGCTACAACATTACAAATCTGCCTTCCTAAGTATAACTCGGACATAACCAGGTCTTGACTCGGTACAACTGACCCAGATCCTTCCAACGAGTCAAACAAACTCGAATAGTAATGCAACGCTTCAGTAAACCGGTCTAAAAAAACCGGACCGTTGTGGTTTGCTTCTTGTTCAACAATGGTTACAATTTTAGGCTTCATTGCTTTAACAGAGGAAAGAACTTTATCAATCCCACCTGGACGGGCCAGGAGGCGGTGAAGCTCGAAAACCGAATTGACGGCGACCGTCTCGACATCAGGGCGGACGTCGAGCATTTCCGGCTGCAGATCCGCCAAACTATTCGCAACGAAACCACGGAATTCAAATTCAACACCAATAGCTTCCGCCAATTGCGCTAACTTCCAACCGACTTGCTGCAAAGTATCGGTATTATTAGGCTGCGGTGGTCCAATCCCGGTTAAACGGAAAGACGGCGGGCCACCTGGCCTCAAAGCAAGTGCTTGCATAAGCGCCGGCCACTGCATACCTTGTTTAAGCCCAAAATCAATCACATGTACTCGATTTGCAGTTGAAAATGCCTCGAGAATGGCTTGATTAGCTGTGAAATGAGCGAATTTGAGGTAAGGACAGGTTTCGTAGAAATGCATCTCTAAAGTATCAGAATAGGAAGGATCCAAGCTCTCTTGAGGGTAGATTTTGTAAATTCGACGAGCTAATGCTTCTGCAAAATAAGTAGCGACTTTTCTCATAGAACTAGCTTGAGACGCCGCGAGCAAACCTATGTGCTTCAATAATGCTTCTGCTAGTTTCAAATTATCTTGTTGAACAGCTTCTGCACACGCTAAAAGCGTATGTACGAGTCGAATTCCAGTTTCCTGTGAGTCGATTAGGACTACAGGCCGAGCTGACTCTGACAAATTACCAGATATCGTAATTTGTGATGGCGGAGAAGGAGATGACAGTGAAGATGAAGATGAAACGGTTAAATTATTATCAGAACCAGAAGCCATTTTCATACGCTTTCTTGAGTTTGTACTTTCTCTCTCTAATGAATCGTTTTGCTGCTGTTGTGGTGGCGGCGGTGGATAAGCAATCACACCAGGAATTGCACGAAGATCGTATTCGGAGTCGTCACTGAAAATTCCTGGTTGTGGATTCCTAGAGAAAGAAATTGTAGAATCTTGATTTTGAAGGATATCAGAGGAATCAAGACCGAAAGGGGAATTATTAAACTCAGAAAGCATGCTTTGAACCCAACCGGAGAGATCTGAAGGATTATAATGTACAGTATCAGTAGAAAGATGAGAAATCCCATCTTCTTGAGCTGTACCCATTACCATCTCAAGTTGTTCAAGCTTTTGAGCAACGTCGGCCATGTCCGATGACCGGACTTTGTAACCTAATACAGCAAGTAATTCATCTACAGCCCCACTATCTTGCTCTTCATTCCATAATTTTCCTTTCCCCATTGACAAAGATTCACCTTTGCCGTCGCCGCCGCCACCCACATCGGAACTTTCTTGAAGATCTCTTTTCCTCATTTTCTTGATTCTTTTTATTGGAAAAGCGTAATTAGAGAAACATAAGAGTTCTATTGGGTGATAATTTAGAAGGAAAATGATAGGAAGGAGAAGAGATGGGTGGAAGGTCCAATGGAGGAACAGGAGAAAGATTGTAGAATGGGAATGGAGAAGATAAGGAAGAAAGGGAGGCCATAATAATAATTAGAAGGAAAAATGATAGGAAAGGAAGAAGAGATGGGTGGAAGGTCCAATGGAGAAACAGGAAGAAAGATTGTAGAAAATGGGAATGGAGAAGATAATTTAGAAGGAAAATGATAGGAAGGAGAAGAGATGGGTGGAAGGTCCAATGGAGGAACAGGAGAAAGATTGTAGAATGGGAATGGAGAAGATAAGGAAGAAAGGGAGGCCATAATAATAATTTATTATTTTATTTTTAAAATCTTTTTTGGGATTTTCTTTTTTTTTTTCTTATAAAAAATTAATCTATCTATATTATATGGGGGATGTATAAAAATTTGGGTCCGGCCAGTGCTTAAAGGCATCGAAAAGAGCCGTGGCAGCACCGCAATGCTGAAAAAGATGCCTTCAATTGGTAATTGTGTACAGCTACTGTATACCCAAATTTTTATTTTTAGAAATTGAAACATGGAATATGCCATATAAAAAGAAAAAAAAATATATTTATTATTTATTTGTATCAATTATTAGGATATTTTCAAGTTAATTTGTGTATAATAAGTTATTATTTGATATAGATGTGTCTGTAAAATAATGATATCAAATGGAATTTAATTTTTTTGATGTGAGAGAATGCATTTTTATAATTACTTTGGAAAAAGATTTCACATCACAAATGAGTAAGTCCGAGAATATCTTTTTTATTTTAATTAAAACAATTCAGGAGTTAAATTTAAAATATTTAATTTGGTGAGACATATAAATAAATATAAAAATCATATTTTTAGACTTTCACTAATAAATTTGGGTTTTTAGAATTGTCAGGCTGCCGTACTACGCTATCAACTAGCAGATTTGTTTATCAAAATCGCCATGGGTGGTAAACACTACCTTTCTACAGGCGCGTGTTGGACGCTCAGGCTCTATTTTACTGTAAGGCTTGGTCTACCTGATTTTGCTCAATCAAGTTTATAACTTTCTTTTATAATATATATTATTAATAAAATCTTAAAATTCCATTCAACAGCATGTCTTAATATATATTAAAAGAAAAAATCTCTTTTTAAAATTTTTTTGACATATTTTTTTCATTTACTTTTATTTTCTAATTGACTTAAGCATCACAATATTTAGGAAAAAAAAACACATTTCTAAATTATAATGAAATTTACACACATCTCCTTTTATATTCTAGAATTAATTAATATGTTAATGGTTAAAATGGTCATTTCATTTGTCATTTAACCGGAACAAGACTGTTTTTGAACGGAAGAAGGTGATTGTATAACGGACGATTTATTTCAAAAGGCATGTGTTAATTTTAGAATATAAAAAGAGGTATGTGTAAATGTCACTATAATTTAAGCAGGTTTTTTTTTTTTTTTTCATGTTCATAGACTTACCAACACTTTAATATTATTCTCAAACTAGACCACACCACGTCGATATCAAATTTATACCTCGTTCTTATCAATTATAAAAATGTCTCATTTAAAAATGAACTAAATCGTAATTTTATCTCATGTAGATTCTAATAAAAATTTGTGTACCCTTGATGATAATATAATCGAATAAATTTAAGTCATCATCCTTTTCTTCTTTGTTTAATTTTATCACCAATGTTTATAAAATTTATACTTGAATTTTGAAACATTCGTTTTTTTTATATATAAAATTTCTTAACCATAATTTCTTCGTACTCAATTTTTAAATTATTTCAACATTTTTTATAAAGTGTATGAAAAATATGTTCATGTCCAAATTAAAAATTATCACAATGAAAATTATTAAATTAAAAAAATGAAATTCATTTTAAAATAATAATATGTTTGCATTTTATTTTTAAATAGAGTAAAGTAAAAAAACTAAATAATCAAATTTATCAACATTTGACTATTAAAATAACATTTTTTTAAAAAAATGTATAGTTTAATGTAATAATTAATTAGTATATTTATAAAATAAAAGGGATGAAACTATAATAATGATTACATTTAACATCTATTTACCATAACTGGAGCACTTATATCTAATTTAAAAGTTTAAATTTTAATTTTTGAATTAAATATAAGTAATTGCAATAGTTTTACTAATGAATTCCCTTCTAATCTCAATTCAAGAATTCCTTTTTTTTTTCAATGTAACTCGTTAATAATAATAATATCAAGAATTACAAATAAGCATATAAATGAGACATAGAACTTTATTAACTAATGAAGTTCAATGATCTTCTAATGAAAGAATGGTTTTCATGTCATTTTGAATAATGACATTAAAACTAAAAAATATAATAATCTCTCTATCCCATTTTATTTGCATGATTTGACAAAACACACATATTAAGAATCTAGTCAATAAAAATTTTTTCACCTTTAATTCATTAAAATAGTAATAAAAGTCATCATTTAATGAACAATCATAAAGGTTATTATGCGGAAAATAATTATTTTAAATATACAAATTTAGAGACATTGTGAACCTTTTAGGATATCCCAAAAAGTAATAACAATCAAACGAAATGAGACAGAGGGAGTATTAGATTTTTCCTTCTGGGTTGCTCTTGACAAAAGATATAAATTTTCATAGCAACAACTAGTTTGTTAATTAATTTGGACGTCAAAATAATAACTCCTCTAGCTCTTCTATACCTGAATTGTTTTTCCAATAATTTGCAGCAAATGACGAATAAATATGAATTTTTGTTGCTATGCGTCAATAGTATCAATTGAGGAACTGACCGCACTACCAGGTTCCATTGGTCGAAGACTCACACGTGTAAATTAAAATCTAAAATCTCCAATCAAATAAAATCAAATATCATAATTTTATTTAATAATAACCTCATAAGAAGGGACTACCCTCATAAAAAAGGAAAAAAAAAGCTCTAAATACAAAAATAACTAATTATAATAAAAATAAATACGAATTTATTAAAATAAAAAAAGATTAAAAGAAAAAAAAGTGAAGGGAAAGATAGTAAAAAGGAAGAAGTAGGTTTTTTTTTCTAGGGTAAGAAAACTACAAAGAAAAGAGTGATAATTTTTTTTTCTTTAACACAACTTAGAGAGCGCTTCAAGAATTCCCTTTTAATCTTGCTCTTACCCCTATTGTCATTCTCCTTCCTACATTGGCTTTTTCTTTTTTTTTTTAAATAAATAAATAAATAAAATCCTACACGTGTAGTGTGATCGATAAGGCTGATAGAGCGATTGGCAAACCACGCACTTCCTAGAAGAAGTGGGGAAGACCCGTTTTACTTCCTACAAGACCACATGAATGCGATCTATGGTCAACTTTAGAACAGATGCGCCGTTTCCGCGAGTAAACCCCAGACGCCAATGAGATTAACCTTAGTGTCCATTTCCAGCCACACGGCACAAGGACAGAGTCACGTGGCTGCACTGCAGCTAGGCTGCGAGTGTGGCAAAGACCCAACACCCGTGAATATAATGTTATTTTGAGAAAATGGGGTCCACGGTAGAGTACGAAGATGAGGATTCAGACGTCAACATCGCTTCGAGGACCATCGCACCCACAAACACCACCACCCCTCCCACCCCCCCGCCCCCACACTGGGACCCGCTCAAAGTCACGGAAATTCAGGCTAAAAATGATAACGGCGTTAAAGGGTAACATGCGGCGACTCCCTGTCTCTGCTCTGCCTTTTTCAGTTCGTTGCGTGCCGTTTGTTTGTTGCAGAGTGGCCTCTGTGAAACGGGCTATTAGAGGTGACGTCGTGGCATTTTTATCTCTTTTTTTGTTTGGCCAAATCCATTTTTGAGTCTATAATCTATATATAGGAAAATTCTAAAAAACTCTTTATTTAATGAGCTTATTTCTTTTTTCTCTTCAAATTTGGTTGTGAGATGTTTGGGTGCCTCAATTTTATTGAAAAAAAATTTTTAAAAGTAAAAATTTGATGTTTATTTTTATTTCTAACTTTTATTTTTATTTCTAAGAATAAAATGATAAATTTATAAGGTATATCAATTTACATAATTCGCACGTACTTTTTATAATAATGTAAAGTCTCAAACAATCCATTTATTTTCTAGTAAATATAAATGAAATATTTACATATTTTAGAAATTCAAATCGATTATTTTTCTTATTAATTAAATAAAAATACACAAATAAATTTTTTGAAAATTTTTATAACTGAATGTTTCCTGAAGGTATCAACTCCATTGAAAGTTTAATTTAAAATATACTAAATATTGGAAGTTTATATAATACTACCCTAAAAATAAATAATTAATGATAATTTAGTTATTATCTGAAAAATATTGATTAATTTTTAAGCACTCTAAAAAACTTAAAATTATGAAAGTACATTTTAAAATAAAAACTTTTGTTGTTTAAAAACAAAAAAGTTAATAAGCTAAAACATTAAGTTTATCCTTTCTAAAAATTAAAGAAAAAAGGAAAACATTGGAACCAGGAGAAAGAGCTCTGACAACTCCAACTCTCATGTTGGCCCATCACCATGTGATTCTGCCACGTTATGCAGATTCTCATCTTATGGTGGTCCCCTCCACCATTTCCCATCCATCACCTTCACCTTCCTGTACTACACTACTACTAGTAGTTTCTTACATTTTTTTTCTCAATTTTCTTTTAAACAAATTCCTTTTATAAAATAATTATTGTAATTAACACTGTTTATTTGTGTTAATTTATAAAATAAATTTTTAAACGTTTGTGAGAACATACTTTTAAAATTATTAATTTTCTTACATATCTCCAAGTTAAACAATGATGTTCATTGTATAGTTTTCAAAATCTTCTTGCATTTTTTTAAAGAGCATATTATTAAAATCTTCTTGCATTTCAACATCACTTACCAAGAGCAATTTTCAAACTTGCATAAACATGTTTTAGAATAGCTTTTTAAATAGTTTTACTATTTTTTATAGTATTCAGTAATATAATGTTTGAATTAATTTTTGAATATTAAAGTAGTATTTTAAACAAAATTAACCCATATAACATTGAGCTTTTTATTATTTTATCAAAAGCTATTCAAACTGTTAACAGCTAAATGTTACTAAATCAGCTAATAACTAGCTAAATAACTAATTTTGCCAAAAGACTAACCTAACCTCGCAAATTCTCAGGACTAACTTCTTATGCATACCTATTCCAACACAAAGCTAAAAAGTATAATTATAGATGAATCCCACTGCCCTTTACCCAATTTAGCATAGCATGTTGTATCATATATATCATGGTTAGATTAAAAATAATT